TTTATTTACAAAATACATTGAAACACAATTACAACTTGATCTTTAGAAAGCTCTGCCTATTTTTCAACCACGTGACTCAACTATCGAACACACGTCATTATCAGGCTTGTTGAACTTTTGTCTTGGAAATCTGATGTATTTTAAAAGTTGTTTTAAACGCTCGCGTAATTTTTCCCCCCACGCGTAATGATTTTATGATTGCTAATTTTAACGAAAGATCTCAAAGGCGCGTTCTCGTTCAACTCGTGCTTAAAAAAAAAAAAAAAAAAAAACCGTAGAATAATGCATACTCTTCGTCACAGCGCTTCTTTTGTGTTGCTTCTTTCCATGTTATCGGGCACCGGCTGAATGAAAATTTGGTTGAAAATGAAAAAATCTCAAGAGCAACCGTAAAAGCTTCTCCTTTTGTAATGTCAACACAGTCGGAGAGAAAAAAAAATCCCACGCGTGTATTAAATCATCATCGCGCGTCCCTCATAACAATCTTATCGGGGGGGGAGGGGGGTAAAGAATTTCCTGTGACAATGTTTACCGAAAACTCTCGGGCATCTGACTGATCTGACTGGAACAAACTTACGTCTAATAGCCTCTTTCTCTACTCTGTCGAGTCACGATGACGCGTGTTTGCAACTAGCGCACGGAATAACACGCAACTGAGAACTTTTCGCATAGATTCGCATGAATACATTGTCACGACAAAGTCCAAACTCTAGAGTCACGTGACGGATGTAAAAGAAAGAAAAAAATAACACCCCCCGCGCGTTTAGTACAAAAAATCTTATGTAAATAATACAATGAGGAGAAAAGTAGGATCGGCTGTTTAAAACAGGTAGTAAAAAATCGCGGCGTAAACGACAACGCCAAAGGCGATGAAGATCGGTAGGTAGGGCGAGCTTTGTTTCTTCGGCGCTTCGTAGGTCCAGTCGTCGTCGTCGTCGAGCGTTGCCTCCCTTTTACCGGCACTGTTGCTCTCCTCCGGGAAACTGCCCACGAGCTCGCCGATTTCCAAGGTGTCCTTCAGTTGCTTGGCTTCCTGCAAATTAAACCTAATTATCGGCAACTACTGGTACATTGAAAGAACAATTTTTTTTTTTTTTTTTTTTTTTTTTTTTTTTTTTTTTTTTTTTTTTTAAAAAAAAAAATTTTTTTTTTTTTTTTTTTTTTTTTTTTTTTTTTTTTTTTTTTTTTTCAATCAAGAAAATTGTATCGTATAAAATATACATGTTACAAAATTATTGTATCATTACAAAGTTACATAANCTATGGTTGATTGATGAACAATTACTAGTCCGAACAGTTTAAACGGGAAAAATCAGTGCGAGAAGGCTCACTTGTTTCTACAAATACAATGTATCGTTTTTTTTTCAATTTTTTTTTTTTTTTTTTTTTTTTTCAATCAAGAAAATTGTATCGTATAAAATATACATGTTACAAAATTATTGTATCATTACAAAGTTACATAAGTGTACATTGTAGTTGAACTAAAATTGAATGGCGAGATAATATTTTTTGTGTGAAAAAACAAAGGATTATTTCGTTTAAAGAGAATAATTACTTGGTACCATTGTAACGGGTATTTTCTTGGTTCCGATAAATAATTCTTACGTGTAATAATGGTAAAACGAGATAATTATTTTGAAAAAAAAGTCAAGCCATAAAGATACATGGCAAATTTCAAATTCAAACAATCGAGACCTTGAAAAAGGCCTTTTTGAAGTTACCCATAAAGTTGCTTCAAAACGCGTTTGGGACTGTTTTTCGAACGACTTCCAAGGGGAAAAAACGAAAACTCGGGATTGTACGACCCACCTGCGAGTGTCCGATTTCGTCGAAGCACTTGGTGCCGTCCGACCCCGCCAGGTTAAGTAGCACCTCCTCGCCGCCCGGATGCTCTTTGAGGAACTTGGTCATGTCGTAAACTTTGCCGTGCAGCGCCATCCACAAATCGTCGGCGTGGTTGTGTCTCGTGACCTCGTCCACCGAGTACTTTTGCTCTGACATTTTGTTCGCTGAAAGAATTGCATATCACGGAGTTTACGATTGTGAACAAAAAAAAGTTGCAAAAATTACTGTCCCAGAACGGTTATTTGTAGTATCACTCCGTCCTCCAGGGATTTTTTACTCTCTACTGTCAACTTAGTAATTTCTACTGCTTAAAACGGTAAAAATCGTTGTGCCTGAGGTAAAAATTACTGTTTATTAAAAGCACTGAAAAATCTTTACTCTTTAAAATTGAATGGGTGGAACAATAGCCAATCAATTCATTACCACTGACACAGTTTTAAAGGGCAAAATTTTAATTTTTCGTTTGAACCAATCGACACGGTACCAGTTACTCGCAACAAAAGTGACGGATAAAAGAGCTCGAAAAACTGCAAGTCAGCACTACAACCGTACGGTCTTGGTGCTCGTTTCTCTTGGGCTCACTTTTACCTTAAAATTGTAACTTTAAAATCATGTGGGTAAACAAGTATTTTTGGCATTGCATGTCTGCGGTTTTGCGGCTGAGACAATACTCAATCGTCGTCCCACCACGTAAGGATTTTTTTTTTTTTTTTTTTTTTTCATGCCTACGTTTTGGTTAACATTCTTTTTGTACATTCGAACTCTAAAATTTAGATCTTAGTTTCCGCCGAGTTTGAGGTGGAAAACAAAAACCACTCACTTGAGATTTTTCTCTGTCGCTCGAAGTGAATCACAGCACAGTGTATCCAAGGTAAACACGAGTATTTAGCGATCACGATGATTTAACAAACACAAATTATTGTCAACTTTAAAACAGAGGGATTTTTGTCACGATCGTGCGTCTCGCGTGCGAGTAACTGGCTCGCCACAAGAGAACCGATGTCGACGACGGCTTACTTTGAGTGTGACCTTTTTTTTTTTTTTTTTTTTTTTCTTCATCATGAAAATTCATAAGAAATCGGATGCCGTCTATTTTATCCGTTTACTATGTGCATACACCATACATACGTGTCGCGTAGGGATCATTTGCACAGAATAGAAGAATCGTCACTCTGTTAACGATTGTTGGACTTCCATCGCGACCTTTTTGATCATGTGATCTATGCTTGCCGATAAAAAATTGAATCTCATTTGGCAAAGTGAACAAAAAAATATTAATCGAAGCTAAAGGTGCGGGGGAGTCGATATCTTATCTAAAAGATCTCCTCCCCCGTCCCTTGGGAAATTATCGGCCTCGCAACTGACTGCACGTCGTGTAAGGTTTGAAAAAATATTGGTGGATGTGCGATTTGTGCCAACGACTCGTGTTGTGTGCATGTAAAGCAGAAGGTATACTTATTAGCGACAGATTTTTCACGGCGTGCAACTTTAAGTAGTAAGATAACAACTACATTTTACGTGGAACGGCAGACTATAATTTAAAAATAAACTAACTATTCTTCGTTCAACAACTGATTCGAATACTAAAATTTTTACTACAAAAAAAAAAAATAGTGTCATCTTGATATACTTGTACTACGTGTGATTTTGTATTTAAAATGTTTTTTTTTTCTTAGAAATAATTTTATTAGCACAGTAGTGATTAAAAAAGTAATGTTTTTCTTAATATTGGATATCGTTAGAGCTTCAGTCGAATTAAATTATTCCCACGGATCAAAGTCCCCGATACCACTTCCAATTAATCTCATCTCGCGCATACATACGAGTTCCCAAACATTCCAATTCCACCGACGCACGCGTGTTAACACGCACACACACACACACACACACTTACTCACGAACGCATTGATTGAAACGAATTGTTTATTGTTAACAGAAAACAGGCGCGAGGATCAAGATCTACTCCAACTGCTGTCCCCACAGCACGGATCGGCTCATCAGCATCTGCGGCAAGTCCGACACGGTGCTCGATTGCATCCGCGAGCTCGTCGCCACCATCAAAACCGTAAGTACACATGTATACACTTACCAAAAAACCAAAAGCATGAAGGAAAAAAAAATGTATCTAAATTATCTTCTCTTCCCACCCCGTCCCGATATAGTCACCGCTGAAGGGCGTGAACAATCCGTACGACCCGCGCAACTATGACGAGTTCTACGCCGAGGAGTACGGTGGGTACGGTGAGAGCGGCCAGCCTGCCGGTGGTGGCGGTGGTGGCGGCGGTGGTGGCAAGCCCGGCGGCTTCGGCGGTCCCGGAGGTCGAGGCGGTAACATGGGCGGCGGAGGCGGTGGCGGCGGCGGCATGGGTCCCCGTGGACGCGACAACCGCGGTGGCGGCAACTTCAAGCCCAATGGTAAGACTTGGCTTGGCATATATACCATCATACTCACTTCCGAGTTCATTTTTTATCAGTACAAGAGATGGAGGGGGGCTGGCGGTGTTACGGGTGGGTGGTGGTCGTGTAGAGTTTGATGACCATTTTAAATGCATAATAAAAACATTACGTGTTTTTCAAGTGTACTCTGATGGCGTGTTGATTAATCAGCTATTTCATTTCAATGATCGATTAAATTTATTTTGTTTTTATTGGTTATCTTGATTGAAGAGATGATTATTAGGATGGATAAAACACCAATATCTAGTTATCTTCATGGGCAAGGAGAAATATGAAACTTACTTTTGTGGCGTCTATATATAGATATATCAGAGTCGAGTTCTGTTGAGGGTATTTATATGAAATCCTCTTTTCGGTGTGCAGGATTTATTCATTTATTGAAAGTAACTATTTTTCAGACTATTGGCGAAATTTTAATCAAAGTATTGTGTTAACTCGGGTGTACATTTTGCCCTGATGTTGTCTAACAATGTACACCCCATGTTGAATTATTTATTGTATTAAAACACGAGGATCAACCAAAACCATAAAATAAAAATATAACGATGAACAACTATCTTTGACAACCATTGAATAAAGTTAAGACCCCATTTTTCGCGTTTATTTGGTGTAAAACAATTTGAGAATAGAAATTGTTCTGCGTCGGGTGTGCTTTCAATTTTTATGCATTATCGATCGGTAAATCTTCAAGGTCGAGTGAACAGATAGAAAATGAGTTGTCGGGTGAAATAAGGTACATGCGGTTTTTTCGATGCGTGCGACACCCTCTCCCCTAGAACGTGGTATAATGAAAAAATCCAGAATGACTCTATAATTTAACCCTCGAATGGATGGGTCCAACGCGTTTAGAATCGGACGAAGGGAAACGCGTAAACTTACCAATGATCCGTTGTCTCATTTTACAGGTCCAGACATGAACCGGGGCGGTTTTGGAGGCCCAGGAGGCATGGGAGGTGGTCGCGGTGGCGGCGGCAACGTTCGCGGTGGCGGAAACTTCGGTGGACCACCCGACCGTGGCTTCGGCGGTGGTAACATGCGAGGAGGTGCCGGAGGCGGCGGTGGCGGATTCGGTGGTCCCGACCGTGGTATGGGAGGAGGCATGGGCGGTGGTATGGGAGGAGGTATGGGTGGAGGCGGTGGTGGCTTTAACAGCAACCGTGGAGGCCCACCCTTCTCCGGTGGCGGCGGCGGTGGCGGCAGTGGAGGCAATTTCAACGGTGAGTGTGACGAATTTCATTTCATCGATGACTCCTTCAAGAGAAACTTTGCATAACCATTCGTTTGATTTAAAGGCAACGGCTGGGGTAACAACATGCAAGGAGGAGGAGGAGGTGGTGGTGGGGGTGGTGGTGGTGGTAACGCCAACGGCCTTGGAGGCGGCGGTGGTATGGGCAATGCGCCACCAATGGCTGGTGGTGGAAGCGGTGGCAGTGGCGGCGGTAATGGGCCCAGCCAAGGTGGAAGCCCCGGTGGCGGTAACGTCAGCAGTACACAAGTCACTATTCCGAAAGATGTGCGTTTGGCCTTTGATGTGTATTATTATTTTTTTTACCACAAATGGGGGCATCTAACTATTGTCAAACATTTTTTTTGTCTGCGTAGCTCGCTGGTGCCATTATCGGCAAAGGTGGCGCACGAATTCGCAAGATCAGATCGGACAGTGGCGCTGGCATTACCATAGATCTCCCATTGCCGGGTAGCAACGATCGCATCATCACCATCACCGGCTTACCCAACCAGATACAGATGGCTCAGTTCCTCTTGCAGCAAAGGTAAACTTTATATATCCTTATCCACTTATTTCATTATCTCATTGAATGCGATACCATACTAAAAGAACTGCGTTTTTCTTCTTTAACGTTTATAAGGCCATGTTATACGAATCTAAAAACAATATTTTTCGCCAAGTTATAGTATTTTTCAAATGTTGTTTTTTTCACTCAACAACGTTCATTTTTGTTTCAAAAGTTGTAGCTTCTAATACCTAATCATATGAAATTGAGCAATATGTAACAATCAAAACGTTTTTTAATTATCTTCTACTTGCGAAAATAAGCTAGTTAAGTCATATTTTAAGAACTGATGAATGCTAGATTAATATTGTAGAAGATTACGTTTAGAAATTCATTATGATGAGAAATGTGTATGCCTCTACTTACAATTGAATTTGTGATGATTTTTTTAATTGCTGTAAAATAATGACTTTACTTTGTAAAAGTGTATGAAAGAAAAATAAAATTCGCAAATTAATAAAATTAACTGGAATCCTGCACGAGATCAAACGTTTGTATGAATGAAAGTGTATGAGGGAATCAGATGCTAACAATTTTGTCATGTAAATTAACATAAGCTACTTAAGTTACGCCTGCAATAATGATACTGCTTAAAAATGCATTTGATAATTTATGATTAATATAAGTGCTGTCAAATGACATGAAAAACATACGAATTAACCGAATAATGTCAAATGAAAATCAAAGAATTATTTAAGAATGTAAAAATGTATTCTGTTTGAAAAAGTAATTAATTGGTCGTGTTGAAGATATATTATTTGTTCTTTGGTTTTCATTAGTTTCTCATCGCTCACTAACAATTTAACGAAAAACTAACAGCCTGTACAAAAAAAAGAGCTCGTGAGCGAAGAAAGCAAAAAAGAATGCATAAGGAGTTTGGCTTCTCGTCCAAGGGTATTGTCGTCGGAGTAACCAAAAGTCATTTTAAACATTGAGCATCATTGTATGGAAGACTAGTGATTTTGTTGTTCTATTTGAGGTGTAACAAGGAATCACTAATCATCCTACAAAGGTGCTCGCAATCTTCATGTGCTCATGCCTACTACCACGTGTCCTACTGCCTGCTTGTTGCCTTGGATTAAAACTAACAACGGCGCATCTCCTATTTTTTAAGCAATCATTTGAATACGTCACCACTAACAAACTAGTCATTTTGGGTTTCATCATTACATGATAATATTAATAATAAAACAATGTAACTATTGTGTAAAGAAAAACGCAGTTTCATTTTCCAGACAAACTATTCGTTAAGAAGATGAGAATTAATTTCTATGGTCAAAGCCAACCAATGATAATGTTTCTTTTTTTTTTTTTCAGCGTACACGAAAATTCTGAGCAAGCTTACTAAACAGTAATCATTGTAGCGAAAAAGAGGGGGAGCCAAAGATGCGTTTATAATTTTTTTTAAGCAAACTTATATCTCGGATTGAAAAAAAAAAAAAAAAAAAATGATAGAATTCAAGAATAATCAAGACAAATAGCAAGAAACCATATTTCTAAATGAAAGATAAAATCTGGAGTGGATTCATCAACGTTGTGCTGCAGATGTGACGTTTTACAAAATAGTTTCATCGCTAATAAACGACCTTAGAAAATCATTAAAACACAAGTCGTGTATGAAGGAAAAAAAAATTGTCAAAATTTACATACTGATTAAGTACATGAAAGTAATTGTTGCCATAAGTTTTTATTTTATTTTTTTTCACTCAGTAAATGCAACAGGTGGTTTCAAAAGGATAAACGTGTAAGTGCAGCTACATGCTTAGAATAGTTACATGCACTTGCTTTTTAAATTACTAACCATTTACTAATATTAAAATGTTTCGAGTGTTGAGTATCAGACTATTTTTTTATATATCTTGAATGAAGTTGAGTCGTATCAATCAGTTTTGATAAATGCGAGAATGATAAGGGGGAAAAAAATGTAAATTGTTTTAGTAAATTTGTTGATTGTTTAATTGTTAGTTTTTTCATGCGCGTGTATATTTGAAAAATCCTCGACAGAAATTTTTAAACTTACGCTGTAAATATCACGAGCTATGGTAACACTTTTTCAACTAATTTTTTATCCTTTTGAAACCACTTGGACCGATCTTTTTTTAGCTTGTTAAACAAAGGTATTTGCACACCAAAACGTGAACCGCTCCCAATCGTATTAAGTCTTGTGGAAGAAAGTTAGAAGTTAATAATGTGAAGAAGTAAAAAAATTACGTTTTTTTTTTTTCGGATGAAAGTTTTTGGTGAAAGACACCATGATATGCATACATGTTTTACGGTAAGGACAACATACAAAGAAAAAAAAAAAAAAAGGAAAGAAAGAACGTTGCCAGTGTGAATTAAAAAAAAAAAGAACCTTTGTAAATAAAACACTATACCAACTTTCTTTCATCCTCTTTATGCCTAAAAATTTGTATACTTTGACTGCTAACTGCACACTCGTGTAGCTCCTTTTATTATAACCGTTTAATAATTATTAATAAATAGCTAGAAAAACATAACACCCCTTCTCTCTTACCCTCCATACTCTTTTTAAATGGGATTCACCACGATCGCCTGATGTACTGATGTGTTATTTTTTGTAATTCTTTTTATCATTTTGATAATCTATTGATTTATAGAAAGTGTTTTACATCATGTGTATGATGGTGATGTCACCAAATGTTTTACATTGCACTGAAATACGTCAGTACATTTAATGTGAATCGCATACTGAGTGTCAGTAGAATGAAAATGTACGGCAATCATCTTCAAATTAATGTTATCAAAAGTAAATATACTTTACTATTACATAAAAACATCAAATTACTAGAACCATCGACATTATAAGGTGGTGCCGATACGAAAATTAATTGAAAAATACATCTAATATACGGAAATTCTAAGGATAATAGAAGAAAAAAAAGTTTGTAAACAAAAATGATTTGAGCAATTCAAACATAAATTTACTTATATACAATATGTATAATAAAGATCTAAAATAGTGTATGCGTCATTTAACATGTGGCATTTATAACGTTATTTCTTTCATTATTATTTTCCTCGCGACCAAATTGAGAGGAAATTTATTTTATTTGAGCCAGCGAGTGTACCTCCCCCCATAATATCCTAATTAATTATAAATAAAAAGCAGCGATTACATTTTATAAGTTCAACAAAAAAAAATAATAAAAATTAGATAAGAGAGCCTTCTCATCTAAATGTTCGTCCTCTTCCAGTTAATCTCCCTAGATTAGTAGTATATCCCGAGCCTCTCTCCCAAATGAAAAAAAATAATAACAATAAAATAAAAACACTTCATAAATAAAGCACATGGTAATTTTACTTTAAGTGTCTTCGTGGCGTTTGTTAAGGGCATTTTTATATAATTTAAACTAGGCAATAGAAGTTATTATAATTTATTTATTACTTATATGTAATTTCATCGGCTTCTTATTTTTTTGTAACTAATCTTACCGTAATTATTTTTGCAGAGAAAAACAATAACATACTTATTTACGTACACGATTCTCTGTAGTCGCCCGCTTCGAAAAAAAAGTCACACTTATTTTTGTATGCTGTTTATTCGTATTTGGCGAACCGACGGGCGATCGGTTAACTAAGAAAAGGTAAATAAGAGCACGTGATGCAAAACGTGATGAGATTTTTCTTTCGCAAGAAATGATTTTAGCGTTCAGTGCAATGATAGGCTCATAAAGAAAGTTAAAAAAAAAAAAAAGTGATTGAGATATAATTACATCATCACGTGGTAAGAATACTTTGAAGAGAAAAATAAATAGAAAGCAAATTATGTAAAAGTGCGGAACAGCGCAAAGGGAGGGAGGATCTCTTTTTTCCGTAGGATGATGGCTATTACGATGATAGACGTTATCTTGTAACACGTTTGTGTAATATAAGATATACTGTTTACAACTGATTTGTATTGAATATACTTTTTATTTGTCAAATAAACTTAGTACAAACAATATCTACATTGTTTCGTTTTATTTACATAAACACACCTTTTAGAGGTCTTACGAAGCTGGATGTCTTTTATGTTACATAATTTTTTTTAACGAATTTCTTTTGATGGAACAATAAACTTTTAAGTTCTTAAACTTCAAGAATAATACAGTTTTTCAGTGTTTTTTTTACCAAAATAAAGTATTTTGTAAAACCACAAACATTTTTTTGTATAGCTAAAAACTAATGATTTACTCATTTGGCTCAAAGAATATCGTTGTGAAGCTTCAAATTTTTTTATGTACAATGCAAAAATAGTATTAGTATATGCTACGGACCATAAGAGCAAAGTAATTATTTTTTGGCTTTTCCTCAGGGAAAAATAAGAGAAGTAAAAATCTAAGATATTATTTACCTGCATTTTTCTCCCAATATATGAGTGTAATATAAAACTTTTATTTTACACCACTTTAACATTGTTTTTGAACCATAAAGACTTCTGTTGAATTCTTCCCAAGAGGCGCAAGGCGTGAAAAAAATGTTTTATCATAGCATCCAAATTCTCTCAAATTATACGTTTTTAATGATGGATTACGGGTTCGTGGTTGTTTTTTAAAATGTTTTAGATACATTTGTCGTGAAACGCGTATAAACAAATAAGCACCTTATTTGCCAAACAAAAATTTTTTCTCAGGATAAGAAAATTAAAATAAAACAATAATCTTATTTATAGAATAATGATTTTTCTACAATGACGCGTGAAATTTTATGTTTTTGCTATCATGATTAAACAAATCCCTGTGATTATAAAAAAAAAGAATCCAATCACGCATTTGTAAATGAAAGACAAAACCACACGGTTTCATTCAGCCGTACTTTTCCAACCGTTTTTGTACTAGTTTTTATTTGTCAGATAATTTATTTGTTTTATGGTATACCCTGTATTAATGAACAACACGAAGGTTAAACTTTTCGTGCATTAAATTTCTCCTGTGATAAACGCCTTAACAGATGTCTTAAAATGTGCAGCAGCTCCACTAATCAAATATACCTAGTGGCTTTGTTTGACATATTGTCATTAATTTTAAAGGTAACGTAATTCATTGAATATAGATTTTTGGCAGTATATGTATTCTCAATTGTTTTATAAATTTTAGACTTGCGTGCTTATTTAACAGTCAATTAAGAATGAACATTAAAAATTAAAAATGTTCTTTGCAAATTTTTGTTTGAACACAACTGCATCCGATTTAACGTGTTTAATCGACACAATAACTTCCGTCAGATTATCGAAATATATTAAACTTAAAATCGAAAAATTCTCTTACATTGAAAAGTATCGTCAGTAAGTGAGTTGAAAATGGAGTGGTTCAATCTTAACGTTTTGGTGGTAATTTTTACTCTACTGATTAGCAATGGTAAGTTGGTGAAAACAAAAATTTAAATAAAGAAAAAAAAACCATAGTAGACCGATTAATGTTCCTACAGAAATAATTTTGAAACCATATTTTGGTTATTAACCCGTCGAGAAAAACAATAAAGTATTAACTTGGAAACACTTGATGAATAAGTACAGTACGCACACGGAGCTTTGTAAGTTTTCCGGTATTTAAATTAATTATTTAAAATCACATTACATAATTATTAAATTAGTAGAATAGGTCAGTAAAAATGTATAGATGTGTGAGCAATATTTTACCTTCTTTACAAGTTTACGGACATTTTTAATTTTTTAATTTTTTTAAACTTCTTTTTTTCTAATGGAAAATTTTTGTTTTGCCCAAATGGTTATTATATTTATTTCTACCTAAAAAATTATAATTACTTTAAAGTTAATTATATCAATCGTATTTGGGTATATTAAGTGAATCAGATCTTAATTACAACAATTGGACAATTAATATGTTCACTATAAAATTAAATTTAATCTAATTAGTGGATTGGTTATTGATAGTTTTTCAACCATACTTTTTTTATAGCTGCGGGTCTGGAATCCGAAAGAATCATTGGTGGTCACTTGGCCAAAAAACACCAATTCAAGTACTTTGTCTCCATACAGTTGAGACAATTCCATCATTGCGGCGGTGCACTCATAGCACCCAATATCGTTTTAACAGCAGNAATTCAAGTACTTTGTCTCCATACAGTTGAGACAATTCCATCATTGCGGCGGTGCACTCATAGCACCCAATATCGTTTTGACAGCAGCTCATTGCGTTTACGACGTCTATGGTGTATATATTCACTTATTAACAGTCAATGCTGGGACAACGAATGCAAACGATGACACTTACAGCAGTGCTGTTATAAAAATTTACATCCACGATAAATTTATCTTCGTACGAGGAACTAATGACATCGCTGTATTGAAAGTAGGTACTTATATTACCATAAACTTGTATGGAAATCTCTTGAACAATTTTAAGATGAGTTGAATGGGTTGAACGTATATTTTCTTTAGTTGGAAAAAGATTTCGACGTAAGTGGTCGTTTACCCATTGGTTTGGCGTCTCTACCACTGGAAAACGAAGATTTTATCGGCAAAACTGCAGTGACGATGGGTTTTGGCTGGGATAAAGTTAGGGAAGTGTACAGTCCTGCTCTCAAAGATACTCTTGAGTTTGGCGAATCCTCAGGAAAATTGAAATATGAGTTCGTGGATGTAGTAAAGACCAAGCAATGCGACTATGATCAAAAAATTATATGTGGCCAAATGAAGCAAAAATCATCCATGGCACCTCAAGGCGTTTGTTCGGTAGGTGTCTTTTTTATGCCTAAAATTAGTTTTGACGAGTATAGCTTCTTGAAGGTAAAACAGTTGATGTACACATATAAAATAAAACAAACATTGTCTGATAAATAATTACGTGTACAAAAACGGTTGGAAAAGTACCATTAAACGACTGGGTAGTATTTTTATTGTTTTGTATTTTATTTAAAAACGCGTATAAATAGATTGTTTTTTCATAATTACAGGGATTAGTTGAATCATAAATGGAAAAACAAAATTTTATACCCCTAAACGTATTATACCGTAAAAAAAACATTCTATAAATAAGATTGTTTTATTTTAATTTTTTATCCTAAGAAAAAATTTTTGTTTGGCAAATAAGGTGCTTATTTGTTTGTGCGCGTTTCACGAAAATTGTATCTAAAACATTTTAAAAAACAACCACGAACCCGTAATCCATTATTAAAAACGTATAATTTGAGAGAATTTGGATGCTACAATAAAACATTTTTTTCACGCCTTGCGCCTCTTAGGAAGAATACATCACAAGTCTTTATGATCGTAAAATCATGTTGAACTAAGTGTTAAATTAACTTTTAATGTTATTAAAAATAAAGAAACTTGCGAATTTGGCGATAACGAAAACGATCATTTAGATTTCATAGATTTCCAGAACAATGGAAGTAAAAGTTAAAAAAAAAAAATCTTTGTCCGTGGATATGTTAGCTCAAAAATTTACTGTCAAAAATTGAGGTCGATCAAGATCGAATCAAGCAATTCAGAAAAAAGAAATGACATACAAATAAAAAACTTAACAAGATAAATGGACTGTTACGTGAATTAAACGTATAATTTGTATCCATAAATTTATAAAAGTAAATATTTTCAGGGTGACAGCGGTGGTCCTCTAGTATACAACAATAAAGTCATTGGAATTGTGAGCCGTAGTCCAAGAGGATGCGATGAATCATTTAAGCCGGCTTCGTACACGAAAATTGCTAAGTACTTGGACTTCATTAAAAATGCCATGATGGACTAGAAAACAACCGATGAGTTAGTTAAATCCATAAATCCTTTTATTTTGAATATTAGCAAACAAAAAATTGTAGAGTTAGTTTGACAGCCGATTCAGAAGGTTGCAATTATTACAAATGATTTTTGGCAAATTTAAAGTAAGTAATTGACTGATTTTAGGATTATTTTGGCCCGATTCATAGATATTTTAAACGTCGAAAAGTTATTGTGTCAAAATTTTCTTGAAAATCTATTGAATAGCCTGTATTAGTTAACTAAAACATTACGTAAGAAGATTTCCAAAAACAAATGGTATAATTTCTGAATCAGTGATTAAACTATTTCTACATTTTTACAGAGAGAAAGGATTCTTGTGACATCTCATGTTCCTAGTTTGTATTTTTGTGTGAAAAATCTTAAAATAAATAACCCAAAGTATTTAGCTGTGCCGCGTAACAAAATGGTAAGTGAAGTCAATCGCTTCGTTATGCAAAATATATGTTCAAGTACAATTAAATCGAGAATTCTCATGACGTATTTGAATTTTGTCAAAGTATTTCAACGAAAAGCTATCAAAGTTACTTAAAAATGATAGTATAAATATTGTAATTATCGTTTTCCGCAAAATTCGGAATGTGGTAACTGGAATTGTTTATGTTGTAAATTTGAATATTAAGATTAAGAATTTTTTATAAATTATGAGTTTTCCTTGCTGTTCACGGTAAATTTGTTAAAATTAAAAAAAAAATTAAAAACCAGTAAGAAAATCGATTTTTGCGCTCATGACGTTATATTCTCAGGATAAGAAAATTAAAATAAAACAATAATCTTATTTATAGAATAATGATTTTTCTACAATGACGCGTGAAATTTTATGTTTTTGCTATCATGATTAAACAAATCCCTGTGATTATAAAAAAAAAGAATCCAATCACGCATTTGTAAATGAAAGACAAAACCACACGGTTTCATTCAGCCGTACTTTTCCAACCGTTTTTGTACTAGTTTTTATTTGTCAGATAATTTATTTGTTTTATGGTATACCCTGTATTAATGAACAACACGAAGGTTAAACTTTTCGTGCATTAAATTTCTCCTGTGATAAACGCCTTAACAGATGTCTTAAAATGTGCAGCAGCTCCACTAATCAAATATACCTAGTGGCTTTGTTTGACATATTGTCATTAATTTTAAAGGTAACGTAATTCATTGAATATAGATTTTTGGCAGTATATGTATTCTCAATTGTTTTATAAATTTTAGACTTGCGTGCTTATTTAACAGTCAATTAAGAATGAACATTAAAAATTAAAAATGTTCTTTGCAAATTTTTGTTTGAACACAACTGCATCCGATTTAACGTGTTTAATCGACACAATAACTTCCGTCAGATTATCGAAATATATTAAACTTAAAATCGAAAAATTCTCTTACATTGAAAAGTATCGTCAGTAAGTGAGTTGAAAATGGAGTGGTTCAATCTTAACGTTTTGGTGGTAATTTTTACTCTACTGATTAGCAATGGTAAGTTGGTGAAAACAAAAATTTAAATAAAGAAAAAAAAACCATAGTAGACCGATTAATGTTCCTACAGAAATAATTTTGAAACCATATTTTGGTTATTAACCCGTCGAGAAAAACAATAAAGTATTAACTTGGAAACACTTGATGAATAAGTACAGTACGCACACGGAGCTTTGTAAGTTTTCCGGTATTTAAATTAATTATTTAAAATCACATTACATAATTATTAAATTAGTAGAATAGGTCAGTAAAAATGTATAGATGTGTGAGCAATATTTTACCTTCTTTACAAGTTTACGGACATTTTTAATTTTTTAATTTTTTTAAACTTCTTTTTTTCTAATGGAAAATTTTTGTTTTGCCCAAATGGTTATTATATTTATTTCTACCTAAAAAATTATAATTACTTTAAAGTTAATTATATCAATCGTATTTGGGTATATTAAGTGAATCAGATCTTAATTACAACAATTGGACAATTAATATGTTCACTATAAAATTAAATTTAATCTAATTAGTGGATTGGTTATTGATAGTTTTTCAACCATACTTTTTTTATAGCTGCGGGTCTGGAATCCGAAAGAATCATTGGTGGTCACTTGGCCAAAAAACACCAATTCAAGTACTTTGTCTCCATACAGTTGAGACAATTCCATCATTGCGGCGGTGCACTCATAGCACCCAATATCGTTTTGACAGCAGCTCATTGCGTTTACGACGTCTATGGTGTATATATTCACTTATTAACAGTCAATGCTGGGACAACGAATGCAAACGATGACACTTACAGCAGTCGCGTTAAAAAAATTTACATCCACGATAAATTTATCTTCGTACGAGGAACTAATGACATCGCTGTATTGAAAGTAGGTACTTATATTACCATAAACTTGTATGGAAATCTCTTGAACAATTTTAAGATGAGTTGAATGGGTTGAACGTATATTTTCTTTAGTTGGAAAAAGATTTCGACGTAAGTGGTCGTTTACCCATTGGTTTGGCGTCTCTACCACTGGAAAACGAAGATTTTATCGGCAAAACTGCAGTGACGATGGGTTTTGGCTGGGATAAAGTTAGGGAAGTGTACAGTCCTGCTCTCAAAGATACTCTTGAGTTTGGCGAATCCTCAGGAAAATTGAAATATGAGTTCGTAGATGTAGTAAAGACCAAGCAATGCGACTATGATCAAAAAATTATATGTGGCCAAATGAAGCAAAAATCATCCATGGCACCTCAAGGCGTTTGTTCGGTAGGTGTCTTTTTTATGCCTAAAATTAGTTTTGACGAGTATAGCTTCTTGAAGGTAAAACAGTTGATGTACACATATAAAATAAAACAAACATTGTCTGATAAATAATTACGTGTACAAAAACGGTTGGAAAAGTACCATTAAACGACTGGGTAGTATTTTTATTGTTTTGTATTTTATTTAAAAACGCGTATAAAT